TTTAGACTCAATCTGAGTACGGATTCTTTTATAAGTCAACGACTTAAGTTCATTCAGTCTACTTTCTAAAAAAATAAAATAAAGAGGTGCCTACTTAAGATATATATAAAAAAAAAAGGTCAGTGTCTAGCACATCCATCTATCAACTAGTACAGCACATTGAAACTGAACCCCATCGGTTCAAACAGAGCTGGATTCAAATGAAACATTCATTCTTTTCCCTTCAAAACCTTTGGTAACAAAGAACTAAAACCCTTCTATATGGCTGCCTCTAAAAATGCGGGGGGAAAAATCCCTACTTTACAAAAGTAAAAGCTTTAGGTCTTTGTCCTGTGTGACGACGTGCTTTGTAGCTTTTACGTGTAGGTATTCATTTGAATTTGCTAAACCCAAGCGTAGTCTAAAGCATGTGGGACATTGGAAAACGTACCTTGTGCACAGACACACCTACATAAAAACACATTAGGTTGAGGGAAGCAGCACATTTAGAGCAATTGCAATCTTAAATCCTTTGGAATGGTTAAGCATCTATTATCATTAAACTGTTAAGATGTCAAAAATAGCTGCAGTAAGCAATTATACACTGCTTCAGCACTGAGCAGAAGCAACACTAAAGGACCAAAATGAAGAACAAAGAAAACAAAGCTACATGAAGCTAAACGCTTACATTAAGGACACAGAACAAAAAGATTTAACTTAAAGGAAAAACTGCTTGATCAAATCCTGTACATAACATTTCAACATGTCAAACTTTATATAAAACTGTACAAGATTTTTTTTTTTAAACATCTTACAGAAGCTAGATTATTTATGCTCAACATTTGTATCCTCTTTAAGAAGTTACCACTGTAGTTTTGGCACACAATTGCGTTAATCATGCTTGTACTTTAGCTGACTATGTCTGATCAGTATTTTACTGATGTCCTTAATATGAACTTAAATATATAATGTAACATTAAATTGTTAGTTTGATGCTTTAATTCATATATGTACTGTCAGTATTTTAGAATCTTTGCCTTTAGAGATCTGCGATAATATGTAGGAATTCAGATTTGAAACCAAAGAAGTTGATAGTTTGGGATCACCTGGATGCTTAAATATGTTTTTAGCATGAAGTAAGAAAAAAAATATACAAATGTTTTCCTGAAAAGATGTTTTTTCCTTATATTTTGAGGGACATGCAGGATCTGGCACTATGGAATGGTTATACCAAATGCAGCCCAGTGTTCCATTTTTAGTTTTGTACAAATAAAACTTTCGTTGTCTACTTCTTCATTCAAGTAGGAAAAAAATAAAAACCAACATTATTTTGCTACTCATTAAGCAAACACAAGCTACATGATGGATTCTCTGAAAAGATATGAAGGTAAAACAAACTTCAAATATCTCAAGAGGTATAAATCAGCAGAAAAAAACAATAATAATAATAATAATTCACCCTTAAACAACAGCAATAATAATAATAATAATACAAATAATGACTACATTGCTAACTCACAATTACGTGGTCTCTGATAATATGGAAAAAGTTTCAAACAATCAAAAGCAATAAGAAGAAATTATCAGTGAATGTGAAACTGACATAGACAGAGGTAAAAACAAAATAACCCACCCACCCCAGAGTTTTTTTTTTTTTTTTCATTTAATTAATTAAAGGAATATTTTTGGGATTACAGGATTTACCCGAAATCCCTGACATCAACAGATTACTCAGGGGGAATAAAAGTCCCTGTTAAAAGCACACAAATTTCAAATTTACACATAAACAATCTCAACCTTTGAGATGTGATGTACTCTTAACAGCTGAAAATGACTGACAGGAATCTGAACTTAACAAGGAATTAGGAGCCAAAGAATCAGGCTTTTTTCATGTTCCTTTCAAAGGCTTGGACAAAAAAAAAATGAAAGAACATTAAAACTAAACATGTACAAAATTGTGTTCAATGGCCTTGCGTGTTGGAATTATTCAAGTACATTAGTTACAGTGAGAGTAAAGGTTTTTGAGACGCCGTCTGTGGATGCCAACATGCCACTTCTTTCAGTCTGGCTGGAAGCATAGACTTTTCTGTTCAAATGGTTATCATAAAAACAGCTTCATAGTCTTAGCAAGACTGTAAGATGGTATCGAGACATGAAATTAGCTGAAATGGCTGCACCGAGGTGGTCCTGTTTTTTCACCGTGGTTACACACCGTCCAGCAGTGAACACTGGGCATGCATGACCACCTGCGTGTGGCAACTGATTTTACAACAAAACCCCACAAACTGTCCCATATCTGCTAGGCAGATGTTGACCCTGAGGAAAATGTGCAGATTATAGATTAAAAACTGATTAATGCGTCATTTTTTTCTCGTTTTTTTTTTTGCATGTGAGTACTTAAAACCAGGTTAAAAAAAATTATAACCAAAACAAGAATATAAAGAAAGCATGCTGATCAACAGCATATCTTTTTTTAAGGAAAATGCTAAGCTCTCACGTCGTTTTTTTAAAGAGCTGCAAATCAGTGGCATTCAAAGTGTCATTTTGCAGCCTGCAAACAATTTTAACAACATACAAATGATTTTGTTTTAAATCGGTTGAATTTTAAGCTAAATATGTGAGAATGAGAGTGGATTCATTTAGACTTAAAAGAGAAGATGGCTGCAGTTGAGGAAGAAGGACAAGGCCTGACATTCATGAATTTACACCTGCCAGACTGACAAAAAAAAAAAAAAAGATCCTCGCTTTCAGAGCAAAGTTAACATGCATGTAGCGTTGAGCGCGGGATAACAGACCAACAGTTGGTCAAATTAGCCCTGGTGGCAGTTAATTCTGCAGGAGTCTGAACTGTATGGACAGTACATCCAACTGCAGCAAGGAAGCATTAAAGGTGCGGACATAACGCAGACTATCAGGGATGCAACAGTTTTAATAGTCCTGCTTTTTTCCCCTTTAGCCTGACTTATAGAGGCATGTCTCTCGGTTTTTTCATGGGGTCATCTGAGCTCCGAATGCTGAGTTGACAAAAGCCTGGCGAATGCTGCACTTTGCTGATATGTTGATTTTAGTTCCAATGTTTTTGCAACACTTTGAAAGCTCCCATCCCCCGAACTTGTGAGGAGAAAGGAAGTTTGAAAGCAGCTGTTTAGAAGTTTGGGTTTATCAATGCGAGCTCGGAGCAACGGTTTCCTCTGCATTGTGAAATCTGATTCTGCAGCTTACATGAAAAGGAATCCTGTTTGTGCTTTGGATGAAGTCGGGCACCTCCCACCCACGCTGCTGATGCTGTCTACCATCAGCTCTTGTTCATACACATTTGCTCTTATCCTGCAGTGCAGATCAAGCTACCAATTACAGCTATTTTTGATATTTTGTTGGCTGTTGCTACAGTTGGGGGTGGGGTTGGGGGGGAGGCGGGATGTCTGCTTCCGTGTGTCTCCTCCTTTATGCTGTTCGGCTTGTGATATAACCCTCTCCTCTTTTATCAGGACCTGCCCTCTCTTGCCTGTTTGTTGCAGATATCTGCTTTGTTCCCTCAGCTCAGATAGGCCTAACGCCTTAGCTGACAATTGACCTCATACTTGGGCAACATTCATGTTATTCAGCGGGCTCATTGACAGGACAGGTAGAGCCAGATAACGGAATAGTCTCACCAGACAAATGACATGCCAACACTCCCTCCACTGGGAATGTCTAATTTTGGGTGCAGCTGTTTCCTTCAGGGAAGTCAAGCCAGGAGGAAAGGATATAGGCAGTGGCTTTACCTTCCAGTCTCCTTAGGACTGAATTAAAAAGCTTGTCTTTGGTAAAATTTCTTATGTGCTTGATGTGTGATTAAATTGTTGCTCCCAAAGTTTTTTTAATGTCCATTTTTAGTTGAAATCTGTGCGTGTGCGTGTGTGTTTAAAGAGTAATCCATGTTTCTGCAAGTTCTATGTGGCTGTAAAATAGTTTTTAGGTTCTCTAACTTGAATGAGCTCAAATTAATGGTTTTTACCCTTAGATTAATAAGTGGTTTGCTGACCTTTCTTTTTATTTAAATGACAAAAAAGTTACCTCTAGTTGATTTATAAAAGGCTGGATTCATTGCAAGTGGTTTATTTTGTACTTATTTTCTGTAACCTTTAGTTAGCTTCTTTTTTTAGATGTATTATTTTTTGCTAAAGAAGAAGTTTAAAAAATCCTCCTTCAAATTTTTTTTCATGGATTTTGATCTAGAAAATGACACCGATTTATCAAAATACTTAATGTGGACTATCAACCCCACAAAGGCTTAGAAGTTAGTTACATAAGCATGAAAGTACGCAGCTCACATGCCAGAACTGAAAGACACCACTTTGAGCGGACAAAACGTAAAATTAAATATCTTAAGCTAGTAATTAAGTTAAACACAAGCCATTGATTAAATGGTTTTTAGGTTAGTCCTTATCCATCATGTAGGTTTCTAATGTAAATCATAATATGCTTAAAATGGAATTTGATTTATTTGTAGAAACTTGCAGGAAACTTGGTATTTGCACCTATGCATAAACAGTTGCTTTTAAACTTCATCCCCACTATGTAAAGGTTCAGTAGGTTCTTAAAAAAACATATTGTATAATTTCATGAAAACAATAACCCATTATAGTCTTTTTCCACCTGACAGTGCAGATTCACATCTGTTTCTCTATATGGTAGTTTTTATGCAGTGCACTTCTTATGCCTATTGTAATGTCAATAAATATTAGCACTTATGCATCTGTTTCTGCTGCAGGGGTATTGTTTTCTCAAAACACAAAGAGCATGGTACATTTGACCTCACCCCCAAACGTGGGGCAGATGAACTGAAATTTTGCAAAAAAAAACGACCCTAGTTTCCTAAAACGTGAAAGCCAACAAACAAAGCAAAGAGTGCAAAGTGTGTTGAGTGTAAGGCTGCAGTATAGTATGTACTGTATGTTTCTCTTCACCATGTTCATTCTTTCAAGATAACAAGGCCATCCCTGAGCAGGGCGTAAAATTCAACTCCCTGTTGAATTTTTGAATAAAGTGATGAGTTTATTGTGCAGTCAATGTGAGTACTCTCGAGTACTGTGGTATTACAGAAAGAGCAACTGTCTTAAATCCTGAGGTGTGTGTGTTTGTGTGTACCCCTTCTCCTGACCCGTTCAATAAAAAAAAAGAAATCAGTTAAAATTTAAACATATTGATAAGACTTATGAGGAAGTCTGTCTGTTTTTTTCGTTTCCTTCTTCGAAACTGAGTATACAACTAACAACTAGCCATAGTCAGAAGCTCAGAAAATACAGACATGTGGTACAGAATGGAAATACCGCCATCTGGGAAAGGCATTATCTTCTTTTAGGATCACACAAGTAATTGCACTACAATAAGCACTTATGTACAGTATGGTACACCACAGCAAGCGCAGGAATAGCAAAGGAGGGGGTGGCGGGTTGCTCACAACTGTGCAACAAAAGTGTTATGATGAAATTGCAGGCCTCACAGTCTGGGGGCCAGAAAAGTGCGACCAAGTTTCAGTTTAAGGCGAGTTGGCTGCACTGAGGGTGGGGCTGATGGTGGGACTGGATGCATCTGAGCGGCTGTAGTCGCTGAGAGAGCCGGGGCGTGTATTGGTCCCGCCGTGAGGCTTCTTTAACATGCTGGGCTGGAAATCGGAGTGGCGCCTGGCATGCTTCATCAGGTGGTCGCTGCGCATAAAGCGTTTGTCGCAGAGCGGGCAGCCAAACTTCTTCTCCCCCGTGTGGGTACGGTAGTGGCGGGCCAGCTCATCAGAACGGGCAAATTTCTTAATGCAGTCAGGCCAGGTGCATGGGAAAGGCCGTTCCCCTGCAGAACACAAGAAAAATATGCAATCAGGATTACACCTTTTATATATCCAGGTAAATTGAGATATAATCCTCAAAATTTTAGAGCACAGCAAACATTTCTGCTGTCCAATGCAAATTAAAGAGGAAACAGCAGAGGAACAAAATGTCCAAAATATTAACTGAAATATTAGAAAAGCTATGGCTTAGAAAGAAAACTGCTAAAAGAAACCTAAAACCAAACGCTAAACTGTAAGGAAAAGCAGAAGACTTATAGGTTAAAATTTGTTAAAACTAAAGTTAACATCAACTAATATCCTGGAATGAGCTTTTCTGCCCTGCTGTATCATCTCTATTACATTGTACATGTAGCACATATGCTAAAGATAATAATAGATATTATGGTAGGATTAGCTGCTATAAAAATGCTAGAATTTATGCAAAAATTAGATGTCATATAAAAACAGTGCAACATATTTGAATGTTGATGTATTTGAAAATCTGTCACTTGATCTTTCTTACACTTAAGTTGTGTTTCTAGCAAAAGTAAGAGGAAGCTGTTTAGCATGATGCCTTTAAATGACTAAAAAGGTTAAATAGTGCAAATCATTTCACCCAGACAATAAAATATGTGAGCATATTTAATACCAAATGAATATAACTGATATGGAGCAAAAGTATGTGAAGACTAAGATAGTGAGCAAAAACAAAACAAGAGGAAATGATTCACTGAGAGCCTGTTAACATTATGACCATCCATGGACAGCTGTACTCCTTTCTGCTCCTATTTGGCAACGTTTTAAATTATATGTCAAAGCATTAAAAACAGATGAGCATACCTAATATGCCACAAGTTTACAACTTGTGCATTATGCAAAATCTCCACAACTAAAAAGGCGCCACCACTAAGTGATACTCTGCCAGAGCTTCCCCTTATAAGCAAATTTTTGATTGAGTTTGAATTTTTTATCCTCCAGATAATGTTTTCTGTAGACCAAGCTAGAATTGAGCCACTTTTTTTAGAAGAAATATACCATTGTGGTCTAGACAAACACCAAAAAGGCATCCAAACATTTTTCAATAAAAAAAAGCTCTAATGTAGAGCGGTTTGATTTTCCTATGCTAAAACAGCTTTTATTACATCTTTAAGATGTTGAATATAACATTGATTATAATAATATTTGGCATTAACAGGGTAGTTTTGTTCACTTCCCATAGGTCTTATTCTGTTGTTAACTTCATTATCATCCATTCATTGTTTATATCCACTTATCCCTGCAATGTCACCAAGGCGCTAGCAGCTATCTCCAACGGTTATTCAGCAAGATGCAACGTACACTCTAGACAGGTCAGAAATTCAACACAGAGCTTTATTATTATACCCAATACTTTCATTCAAATAAAAAGTATTTTTTTAATTGCTCTTTTAATTGAAGAACCTATCTGATCAGGGCTTACATGGTCAATAGCCATTTGCTTGAGAGCCACAGTGTATGTCTCCGATAGGAGACAGCCCCCCCCTTCAATCTCTGCAGTTTTCCATCTATGCTATCAGGAGGAGATAGCAGGTCAGATTCAGGGTCCTTAGAGATGGAGGAAGACACCTCATGGCCACACGGGAGAGATAAGACATGATAATGTCCATTTAAGGGGCTGATAAGCTCCAAAGTAGGCTGGGTACCGTTGATTGCAATGTTATGTCAAGATTAAAGTATGTATAGTTCCTTTGAGTCCGAACCGTATTAAAGCACCTTGACATTAAGCCATGTTTGGGTAAAAAAGAAAAGTAGATAAAAAAAAATCTAACAACATAAATTATCCAGTGGCTTTTATTTAAAAGAGAAAAGTCTCAATTATTTCAACTGTAGCCAAAATAATATAGCACATTTATAATCAACTTCTCTTTAACTTTAAATAATTTTGTTTAAAAATGTGTGTTTGGATTTAGTTTTAGATGTTGAAATGCATATTTTAACCATGATGTCACTTCTTTTGTAATGTTGTTTGTGTTTCAATCTTTTCATCCAATACCTTAAATTCCAAAATCAATTCTAACTTTTTTCTAGGTGGACTACCCAACATGGTTCTTGCATCATACCAAACACTTGATTTGTAATTGTTTAATGTTCACTAAGCATGTTTAAACGATGAATGGGATTCATTCATTGGGGCTTAAGTTTATGAAATTTCTAAAGAAATGAATCTATATTCTGAAATGACATTAGTGAAGCCATACTTTTGTGTTAAAGGTAAATATTCTTCCTACATAAGTGGAAACTTTTAATGCTTCAGTAAAAGAATTTGGAGCTAATTGCAAGTTTGGATGTTTAAACAGTACAAGAAAAGCAGGATGTAAATTCTGAAGTTAAATAATCTTTTGGAGAATAGCCTGACGGAATTGAAGCCATATGTGATTAAGGTGAAATGGGCCACAAATGGGGTTTATAACCAACCAACTGGCCTCTGCTTTCATGTGAGATTTGATATACAAGCCTGCTTAGCAGCACTAATAGTTAGAGGGTATGTGCATAAACCATATGGAACCTGATGATAACAGTGGTTATCCTAATCTGACAAATACCTCATCACTGTGAGTGATGATTCATTTGATCCTAATAAATAAACAATGTTATTTCTACACTTTAATAACCGTCTGAGAGGATGGATAATAAAATCATCAAGTTATCTGCTACAGTAGGAGATGTGAGACTAACAAGCTTTAACTGTGTTCATTTTGATAAATTATCTACAAACTTGCGTGACACTGAGCTAGCAGGCACAGCTTAATTATACAGTCCTAGATGCTAATCCCACCTACAACCCAACCCATATTTAAAAAAGCTGCTATTCATGTTTTGGCACAAATCAAAATTTCTCCCTGACCTTATTCAGTTAAAAGGTAACATTTAACTAAATGTATACATAGCAACTACACATTATCTCATGTATTGTGTATGATTATTCTACACTGTAAACAAGCAGTTTATCTACATTATGTTTTTGAGTACATATTCATCAAACTCTGATTAGCTAAACAAAACATAAAGCATAGACGGGACTTCATCTTGGAAAGATTTTGTTTAGCTGCTTTAACCCTTTAAAGCCTGATCCAAGAATAAAAAAAAAACAGAAAATAATTTTTTTGGGTTTCCTTATTTGCCCTTTTAACAAAATATGTAAAAAGAAAGAAACAGAAATACATATTTGATATTAATAATTTATTACTATGCGATAAGTCAAGATTATTTTTTGTGTAGTCTTCTACTGGCTGTTATCAGGTATATCTGATTGTGTACAATAGCATTTTGAGCAAGGTTTTTACCATTAAATTATGCAAAAGTTGTCAGATGCAAAACATTTCAGAAACCGTATGTATCAAATATGATACATTTGGCATTATAGGGTTAACTCAAAATAACCCAGGGCATTGGTTTGAAGTGAGATACATACATGTTAATAGGGGCCAAAAACACAGAGACCAAAAAAAAAAAAAATGGCTGCCAAAGACTTTGCATGTTAGTTTCGTTATGGGCAAACAATTGAAACAAGCACTGTTCTCGTCACACATCATACCTGATGCCAGAGAGCCCCCCCCCCCCCCCCCCCCCCCCCCGCCCCACACACACATATAGATACACAGTCACACACCACCCCGCACCCATTCTGCACGCTTACAAAACATGCAGACAGACAGAGCAAGTCTAGACAGTATGGTTTGTGCATCTACCTCTGACGCCTTAACATCAGCTGCAGACAAACAAAGTCAGCCCTGCCCACTGCAGTTCCTGTAGGTTCATGCATCATTTCGTGTATATAAACTCACCAGCTGATGCATATTTCTTTGCATATAGACTATGACTTCTTTTTTTTTCTAGAACTAAATAAAAACGACACTTTGACTTTCCATTTAAACGTTTAAGTAAAAATATAAAGCTTGTGGAAGGAAATGTGGTGTGAATGATTGACCCCCGCTGATTGTGTTTAATGTTTTAGTGATATAATACCATTTTAGCAGCAGAGGATAACTTAGGGGGCCTCCTGTTACAGAAAAATATGTTACTGGCCTAAAAGTATTGCCATGTTCTGCTGGCTGCTTAAGGGTCAATAACAAGAGTAACAGATCCAACCAACATTAATATTTGAATAGATGAAAGAGAGCTAAGACTGAGATACTGTGTCTGACCTGCCTGATACAGATACGCATAGTAACGCATTAGATATCAAACTTTCTTTCATTGAGACAAATATTAGGAGCTCTTTGCAGGTCAAATAGCTTTGGATTTAAGGGTAACAGTGTGAAAATAAAGATTTTTGAACTGAAAAAAGAAAAAATATGTTGTTCCACACAACTCTACAGCATGTACAGTGGTTCTCAAAATTTTGCATTCTCTATTTAATATGATGGGGGAAAACTATATTAAAACTGTTTAACCTTTCAGCTTCTACAGATATTTTGAGCATTTATTTTTTTCACTTTTTCATTATGCAAAAATAAACTCTGTAGTATCCTGGTTATGTGAAGGACCATAACCTTGGACTAATTATTTGTTATCTACTTTTCTGCCTTTAAGAATGACAGTAGAAATGATTGACATAAAATTAAATAAGCTGACCTAGTTTGATTTTACTGAAACTTCCAAATTTGGTTTGTTGTACTTTATTTAGATTTGTAACACAAGATTTACTAATGTTGTACAATGATGTCAGTCGTAGTAAGACAGAGGAAATGTGAGACTACAGTGACATTATTAAAAGCAGATGTCTCATAATCATTACAATTAACATATATAATGTGGTCATGAAGGCCAGATGGTTAACAGTGACAAAACTGAAGGAAACTGCAGGAATATAAAAATGGACTCTCTGTGTTGAGATAACTATTTTCTGTAAGGAGCAGGGTCACAAGACCATTTTTTTTTTTTTATTATTGACAAGAAAACATCCAGAGCTTTGTTTCGGTTTTACACTGCATGAAAAGTGGGATTTTCGTCAATATACGGCACTGTAGATTGTCGTGGAACT